TCTTACTATTAACATATTATTGCCTATATTGCTTTCTTACCCTCTTACTGCTCATATCACTCTCTTACCTTATGCTTACTTATCACTTCCCTTCCTACTTATCATTAGTTTATTCTCTCTATTATTACTTATACTACTTACTTATTACTTACTCTTATTCGTATTCCTTACTTGTTTTATTCCTTACTTATTACTTGCCCTACCATTCGTCTGCTATTTACTTACCTCCTTCTTATTCCTTTTATCACATTCCTTATATCACCTGCTCCCATCTTTCTATTCTTTCCTTACTTATTTCACTTAGTCTCTTTACTTATTATCTTGTTTTTATTACTTATCACCCCTCACCTTATTTTACTTCTATCCCTGTCTAATATCTTCTTTCCATACATTCCTCTTTTACTATTCCTTTCATTACTTCCCTATCATTTTCTATTTACTTATCCCTTATATTCCTTACTTTTATTACTTCCCTACCATTATTCTATTTATTACTTTCTTAGTTTACTTACCCCACCTTTACTTATCTTATAGTTAGTAGCCAATTCCTTACTCATCTTACACTTCCTAGTTAATCTTCCTTACTTATTACTTCCTCTGTCTTATTCTTCCTCCTCTAGCCCCTATAATTTTTATCAAAATCCCTACTTTATCACCACTTACTTAGTCTTACTTACTCACCTTATCCCTTATTTACCTTATATTATCTATATCACCCATATCACTTCCTTACATTATATCACCTTATTATTCCTCACTCCACTACTTGCTTATTTTGCTCTCTTACCCTTTTATTCCTTATTTTATATTTACTTATTTCTCTCTACCTTATTCCACTTAGTCTTCTATTATTCCTTACCTTCTCTTACTTCCCTTATCCCCCATCACTATTCACTTATACCTTGGTCTCTTATTATTCCTTAGTTGTACTTAGTTAGTTTACTCCTTACTTATTCCTTATGCTTATCCTATTCCTTATATTCCCTATCTACTCCTCACTTGTTTATTACTTACTTATTATTATATCTCTTACTTATCTTACTCTCTTACCCCATTTATTACTTTTATCTCTCTCCCCTTATTCTTCCTTTTTCACTTCCCTACTATTCCTTATTTTCCCTACTTATCTATTACTTAGCTATAAATTATTTTACTTCCTTACCTCTTATTGGTTAGTCTGTTACCTTATCACTTAGTCTGTCTTCAATCATTCCTTACCCTTCTCTATATTACCCCCTGATATTAACTACTTATCTATACCTTAGTTAGTACTTATTATTATATCTATCACTTACCTATATCTTTCTCTTATATTATTACCACTTACTTGTTATTGTACTAGTCCTGCTTTTCTTAGTTGCCCACTATCTTACTTAATTACTTCCTCATCTCTCTTAGTCTTATTTATTTCCTTACTTGGCCTCCCATTACTAACTTCCATATCACTTCTCTCCTTCAACATCTCCTACCCTTCCATTACTTACTCCCTACCTTATCATATTCTTCCCTCTTACCATATTCCATACACTCTCTTCTTATACCCTATCATCCATCTATCAATCTTTCCTCCCTAGCTGCCCTATTACCCATTCTCATTCTTCCTCACCTCCCTTTTGTCCTCTTAGTACTCACTCTGCATCTATCTGTATTAACAGTTCTATGGCTAATCATTTAGCTTCTTAGTTACTGGCTTGCCACCTTACTATCACCCATTGTTAGTACTTAGTCTTTCTTGTTAGTACTATCCCTTCCCCAATATCTCCTTGGTGTCCACTGGCCATCTAAATATCTCAAAAATTTTAGGGGTCCTGTCGATAGCAAAAACCTCTGATGGGAAGAGGTGCTAACAGTGCAATAATCTTACAACCAACCACAATCGTCATTCTTCGAGAATCCCACAGTGACTAACTCACCCCACTTCCTCCTTACTACGTACAACTTTCCCAGCATCCCCTGTCGTCTTTCTCCATCCTTATCTTAATACACTCTATATCTCATTCCCACTTCAATCCCTTCTTACTAACTAAAAACACTATCTAGCCTATTCTCTTGGAAACTACACTAACTAGGGTCCACTACTTATCTCAGGTTAGTCTTTAGTTACCCTAACCTACCCACTTCTTAGTCTTACTCACTTCTTCCCATCTAACTATCCTTCAATTCCCATCTATCCGTAACATGCCTTCATAAACTATTACTCTCTCAACATCTCTCACCCTCTACCTTCTTAGTATCCTTCCTACATATATTCACTACTACTTACCTATACCCTCCTTCTATCTTTGTTTCTATCTCTCTTCCATATTTTCTTATCTTCTCCTGTCCTGCCGGTACTCCCAGGCCACACGTCTCGTTCTGTCCGGTGTCTCCACTCTGGCCACTACCGTGGAACATTCGCTCTGCTGACGCAGAAATTCCCACCGGCCGGAAGTCCTGCAACCACTCCTCGCTGCTGCTTTCCCAGCTTTCACCCCTAAAATTTTTCCAAATAATTTTTCCTAAATTTTTATTTTCCCTGCCAATCTGGCCTTATCTATATCTTACTTATCCAATCCTCTACTCCTATCCATGTCCATCTTCCATATCTCCCTTATACACTCCCACCTTCCATCCTAGTATCTTTCCCTTACTCATCCAGCTACTAGTACCTATTTATTCCCTTCTCTGTGTATCAAAATATCTCCTTTTCTACCATATATACCTACACATTGTTCACTTACTCCTCTCCAAAATCTTCACTCATCCCAACAATCATATCTTATATTGCTACTTACTTCTCCCTGTCTAATCCATCTGTAGCATTCCATATCTGCAATAATGCAATCCACACATACTCCATTAGTCTAACTACTACAATATAATACTGATCTATTCTCATATCTCTTGTTTGTTTTATGTCCACTACTTTTCTTACTTATACTTCACACTTTATATTCCTATTACGTACTCTCTTTCACACATACATATAGGCTTATTTGAACAAAGACAGCAAGAGAGATGTGCATACTCTGTGAATGTGGCTGGTTTGTACACTGCTCTATTGGCTATATTTTATCTGAGACTATCCTTTGAACTCTCCCTGTCATACTAAAATCAACTGATAAATTAAATCGACCATATTTTTATTAAAATTTTGCATGCCATCCATGCACGGCTTGTCAATCAAAGCTGTAACTGATCTGATCAGAGTACTGCCTGTTGGATTTCTTACCCTGTTCTCCACAGATGCCTGCTGCACTGCGGTGGGCACTGAAAAAAGGTCTGCACTTGATGATTCTTTAGAAGAGCAGTTACAAAGTATCTCCATCTCTAGTGATGAGTCCGACAACACCCCACCCCACTCAACTCCCAAGCCCAGAGTTTTCAAGGACACAACTGGCCGCTTTACTACTTTTATGGAGGATTCTAGAATCTCTGAAATAATCAATGAGTACTTTAAGAGAAAGTATCCTACCCAGAATGAAGATTATCCAAATATTGAAGATGAGATTTATGAAGTTGTGGCAATGGACCTGTATTGCATTTGCAGTCCAACAGGCAGTGCATTTTTAAGCGAATATGAACTTTTAAATGAAGATGGTAGTCCTACGGAAAACTTGATTGAAGAACTTAAAGCATACTTATGGGACAGCAACGTGCATAAATCCAAATTCAAGACAATCGCGGTATCTGGCTTCGAATTTGATCATACTCCAACCAAGGCATGGAAGTTCCTCATTGACCACTGTGGAACTGAGGAATTATGCATATCAGAAATAGCGGCAATCGATATTGCTGCATTCAACAGTCCTGATCTCAGTAAGATAAAAGAGCTGTATTTGACTAGTGTTGGATTGACAGAGATTCCATGCTTATATAACCTCAAAGGTCTTGAACGCCTCTACTTGGATGATAATAAAATTGTAGAGGTTAGTCTTCAAAGCTACTTTGATGCTGAGACACACAGGTGCAACGCCATGCCAGACATGAAATATCTGAGATTGGATGAAAATGACATATCAAGTATTGATGGAAGAATTGAAGAGGTTTTCCCACATCCATCCATGAAAATAGATATTGATGAAGTAGTTTTACACTATCCGCTTGGCGATGTGAAAGAGAAACTGGAAGGGGCAGGTATCGAGCTTACTGAGCCAGACCTGGAGAGTCGGATGGACTGGATGCCAGTAACTGACTAAATTGGTCTTCAACACTAAGTAAAGCATTTCTATTCACTAATGCCTTTCAATCTTTATCTTCGGCACCATGTTCTTGTGTGTTGTTACATTGAGCCGTCTGTGACTCTTGCATTGGCAACCGAGTGGTGTAACATTTGTGCACTTCATAATAGACAAACCCTAGCTACAGCACTCAAATAGCCTTTGCCCAGGATTGGTCATTGCATAAGGACTGTACCAATCCATAGCCATCTATATGTCTCAAAAGCCCTCTTGCATGTCCTCTTGGTTGTTCGTACCACACCTCTCGTCACACACTCTCCTCAGCTGGCCAAGCATGCAGACATGGAACTGGAGTATCTGTGGTGCACTTATCGATACATCAAACAGTATGTACTGAATCCACCAAAACGCCATGCTGTATCCTGGAGAAGAGGCTGCTTACAGATGGGAAATAAAGACCAAAAATCCTTCACATCCAGTGCACGGAAAGAGAACACACTACATCAAGCTTGCGAACCAATTTATTGCAGTAAACATCCACCTAGTCTTCGTGAGGATACTCTACCAGCTGCCTCTCTCAACAATAACACCCATCTTCACCAGGAAATACCTCGCAAACTCCCTAGTGATCTCTGAGGTGTATCCAATCATGTACTCAACATCCTCTGAAAGATCACTCGATATCTCCTTCTCGTCCCACCGGCACATCCGCTTCTTATCCTCATTGCTGATCTCCGTACTGTTGCATATCAGCTGTGCTATCATACTCACCATGCAGCCCCTGCTGTTGATTCGTTCTGTCAGCACATCTATCATGTGCTCCGGTGTGAATATCCTGTAGAAAGCCCTCAGTGCATTCCCCAGACGTAGGCAGAATCTGTCCATCTCCATTAGCAGCTCCCCACCCATAATACCCGTCTGGAACTCAAAGTCAAGCCCAACCTCGTTCCGCAGCTCGTATCTCCAGAAGTTCTGAACATGCACATTCTGCCCCACATTCAGGGGCGTCACTGCAATATCAAACACCCGTTCTTTTTCCTGCCCAACCCATGTCTCAACAACCTTCCTCACTCTGTCCTCCAGACTGCTACCCTCCTGCTCCTCCACATCTCCTGTCAGCAAATTGCGCACAAACATCATCTCGGATATCTGTCTGTCCGGACAATACTCAAGCCCCTCACAGATTCCATTGATGTTCGAGACGACCACCTTCTTATCACTCTCTTCCGAAAGAGCATTGAGTATGGCTCTAAGCAGGTTCTTGGCCAGACCCGTGTGCTCCTTCTTCATCCCCCACCTCCTGTACTCTTTGTCTGGATTGTAGATGTGGTGTATGAACTCGTCCATTGTTCTCTTGTTGTCGCCCATTATGAACTTGCGGCTGTTCTTCTCCCACATGTCCATAAAGGCGCTTTTGTCATTACCAGTGAGCTTTGAGATGTTTCGTTCCCTGGTGTAGCTGTCTTTGTTCTCTGCAACCTTTGTAACAATCTCTGTGATATTCCTATTTCTGGTCTCCCCGTCTACATCTGTCCTGAGCAGTGCAGAAAAGCCCTCTCCATACACTGCCACAAGGACTCTTCTGCTGGCCTCAATCGTCTCAATGACCTCGGGCCTCAGCCTGTCCCACTCCCTCACAAACATGCTCTCATTCCACAGCCTCACCAATTCCTCCTCGCTGCACTTCAACTCAGGAACTGACGGCGGTCTGAGTGTTCTCAGCATCTCGAAGTTCCAGTGCATTGGCTTGCTCTTAAGTTCTCTGTACACATCCCCGACTGAAATTTCATCTTCTTCATATTCAACGCTGTTACTGCTAAGCACAACACGATCCCCAAATATCGCTCTCAGTTCTCTCCTACCCAGAGTCTTTTCTCCATCGCCAACTTCTGAAATGTTATTGTCCAACAAATTCAGTAATCGCAATGAACCAGCTAACTTTCCTATTGTGTCTGGTAATGTGTTGAGCTTGTTGCCATAGAGATAC